CTCTGTTCCTTTTGCATTTTCATCAGATCCAGTTCCCCATATATCATTTTTCTTTAGAATTATTCAGTATCTCAACGATTAAAATGAAGAAAATGTTTAAATTGAGAAAAGTTAATTTGAATGCAAAAATTCTTTTCTCAAAAACTCTATACTTGAATATATACGCGTGTCATTAATTCACTGAAGTTTCTTTTAAAATTATTAGTTTTTAATAGCCATTTTGAATTTTTCTTTCATGCATACACCATTCTATTAATGAATACATGAATAGAAATAATTCTTTTTTTTAAGTTAAAATTTGTATAAAAAATTATTCAAAACATATATATATACAAATATTCTTTAATATCCACATTTTTATAACACTGATCTCTTTTGATATTAGAAAATTAAATTAAAAATTTGTTTTAATTACATTATTTTCAAAGTTCCAAAATTTTATCCAATTTGTACAAGTAAATTTATCGCACTCTGATCTCTCTTTACGTTACAAAATTTATCGATGAAGTGATCATTTAACGTCTAACTACAGGGTGGTCCTTTAAATAATTCACAAACATTCAGACAGAGGATTAAATGTCAGTGGCAATGGTCTTTAAAGAGTGGCACACAAAAGAGCGCTTTAAAGGACCTACTTTTCAGTCGTCGAGCCGAGTGCTCTTCCTTTCTCCCTCTCCAGCCTGGCGTGTGCCTCTTTTCTACCCCCGTCTACGTCTTTCATGTTTCCTTTTCCCGGCTTCTTAGGATGGAACCGAGCTACCACCAACGCTTTCCACCGACTGTCGAGAGTGAAAATTACGACTATGCGTAATTTCGCTCGAATATTATTCACTCTAGACGAAAAATGAACCAGTCTTATTACCATTCCAAGAGAGAAATTATCTCATTCGTTCTCGCTTCACGCGATTTTATTTCATCGAAATGAGATTTTACAAGAGAAATACACGTTTCTTAAATAATTATTGATCCTCTTCAATAAAATTGAAATTTAAAAGAGATTTTTTCCACTGGAACTGCCTTTCAAAATATTACTAAAGTCGAACTTTTTCTCAAATTCTGCAAGAAAAAAAAATAAGATAAGTGGAAGTGGAAAAATAAAATAAAAATAAAATAAAATAAAAATAAGAAGTGGAAAAAAAAAATTAATCTTGAATAAGAAGTATATACGTGAAAAATTGCGAGTATTGCTAGTCGATGAAACCTTGCCCTCTGGATTTATATTTTCATTGATCGGTGATAAATTGGGACACTCGCAAAAATTTCGAACAGATCCACCGTAGAGCGATATTTGATCAGCTGAATAAGAAATATCCAAAAATTAAAGATAAATTCATCAAGAAAATAGAATAAAAGAATAATACATACCTTTCAATTCAGTCATATTCTCATCGATACAGAAACTTATTTCACTGTTATCAGAATAATCATAGTGACCAGGAGTAAACATACTGGAAGGATTAGGATTATTCTGGTCGAGTTTCCATACAGAAGACTCCTTCCTCCTTATTATTGATCCAGGAGATTGATTCATCAATGGAATTTGAATTTCTCTTGGGACGACTAAATTATTATTTGAAATAAAATAATATTAGATCCAGATAGATTATTCAAAAATATATCAGAAGCTTTTAGCCTCCTAGATAACTTAATTTAGATTACATTTTTCAATTTTTTTAATTGAAGGCACAGTGTAATGAAATGTCTCGATTCTCGAGATTCTTGGACGTGGAGATGGTTCGACCGAACAGCTCTTCGTCCTCTCTAATAGAATACCCTTCATTGGTGATGCCACGGATCTCTCTGAGCTGGAAATCAACTTCATTTTCTTTGCCACCGGTTCATCCCTCTCCTTCTCAAGATCCTCGCAACGTTGGTCTGTTTGCTTATCTTTGGAAAGACCAGATGACTGGTCTACGTGCTCCAGTTCCTGGTCCATTCGTTGTTCCATTTCCTCCTCGACTGCATCGATCGGTTCTGAGCCTATATTTCCATCCACCTCGCTGGCCACATCTTCCTTCTCCGCTTCTTGCTGCTCTTGGTCCAGGGAAGAACTTCTTGAATCGATCGGTTCCTCGTAAGAAAGCTTCTGATCTTTTTGGGCTTGAACTTCGGTACGGGATGGTGGTTGAATGGAATTTTCTTCCGTTAAGCACATTTCTTCCAACATCAGGGTATCCACCGATAAAGTATCTAAATTCATTAATTGTTTTCACAAGTTTTAATTTTAAACGATTAAAGATAATAATTGTGATTGTTTTTTTGTTGTAAGGGAGAAAAAATTATGTTTAAGGAGAGGTTAAGTATGCGAGGGAAATCGAGTTATTAAATTTAATTCAATTAAATCTAGGATCGCCGAGTATGAGGAAGGAGAAAAATCCTTCTCCAAAGAATATCTCACGATAAAACGAGAATGTGCACCTATGGAATTCTCATAATTTCTTTTCCAACCGTCTGGGAAGCCGATTCCCGGCCTAGGGCCGTAAATCGTGCGCATGTGGGAGAAATTAATCTTTGGCGGTGGCATTTCCAGCAGTTTCAACGCTCGATCCCTCTTTTCTTCCTCTTGTTTCTTCAATCGCATGGCTAGCTAAGAAGAAATCGGAAATAAGATGCTGTAAGAAGTCTATACACCAGGGAAAAATTGAAAATCTTGAGAATATATGAAAAATCATGGCGAGAAACCTCCGTTTCAATCGTGTTCAACTCCTCCTTGCGTTTGTCGACATTTCTATCGAGATCTTTCAATGTTTCAACTAGTCTGGTATAATTTGAAATTGCACGCGCAAGTATGATGATTTTTGCGCGCATTCTGAGCCACGCGATCCGCTGTTTTTGCTTCAAAATCTTCTCGAATTCGTTAACTTTGTATTCCAAGACCATCTGATCGATTTGAAGCTTTTCCATTTTTATTTTCGCCTCTTTTCTGTCCTTAGCTAAAGGGAACTCTTCATATTTTCTCTAGACAATACATCGAAATTCGGTCTTTTAGATTTCTTGTCTCGAATATTGCGTTTTAAGGTTATGAGAATTACATACGTGATACGATTCCCACACTTTTTCGTAGTTGTTGTATATATTTTCATAAAATTCACAATCCACTTTCATAATTTTATAATCGTTATCCAAATTAAGCTTCATTAGCTCGATTTTATTAGAAATTTCAATCATATAATTTCTTTCTCTATTAAAGATATTTTCAAAGATCATGTTTGCAAATATGATGAAATTATATAATGTAATTGATATGTTTTATAAAAGTCATTATTTTTTACATACTTGCTCAGAGAGTTACTTAAAATTAGAATATTTTCTTGAATATTCTTTGTGTTTTCTTTCAATTCTTTTCTCGTTTGCAACTGCATTTTCACTTTAACTTTGAAGTCTTTTATCTGTCTTACAAGTTCTTGAGAAAATTTACAAAAAAAAATCTTCGAGCAATTACATTCGATAATATTAAGAAAATAAATGCATTGATATAAAATAAATATTATCTATATTATATTAAATAAAAAAAAATCTTATTTTATTTTATTAATAAGTAATTTTTATTAATAAAAAATATCGATAGATGCTAAATTTCATAAAAAATATTCTAACTACGCCATATTTGAAATAGTTATTGCCGATCGTTTCGATATTTAGCTTCAACAAGTTCTTTCATTGTTCGAGCAATGAATATATCGATAAATCCCATATATCATCCATTGATGTGTAAATATAATATTATTTTCAACAAGAAACGGAAATAGGATAATAATAAGAAAAAAAGCATACCAGAAAATATGTACTTGAATGTCTCGATTTCCATGAGTAGACAGGTTTCCAACATAGTCATAAATTGTGGATCGTTACAACTGATTTCATCTTCCATTTTCACTGTACAACAATATTTTCACGAAACACTACTCAAAATTAAGTACAAACTTGAGAAAAAGTACAAAAAGAACGGAAAAATTCGTTACGCAGTAACACTTACACGACGTTGATAGAAATTGACATGGGGGTTTATTGAAATTATAACACACGCTCTAATTGGCTGGCGCGCTATATAATAATTGGCTGGCGGACTATGTAATAATTTGCGCCAAATTTAAATCGTTTTTTGAGACAATATCATAATCATCATTAATTTACAAGAAAAATTAAGAATATTAATTAATAATATTTATAATAACAATTTAAAGAACATTATTACTTGACATAATCGCTGGTAAAAGCAATTTAATAAAAAAAATAATAAAGAAATTACATGAATAAAAGATAAAGTATAACTAGATAAATATTGAAAAACTAATCTCTTTTTTATTATACCAAACAACATCTCGACCATAAAATAACATGACAATATTAGTCCGTGCCCAGTGCAACAGCAGAATTACAAAGCAGAAACTTAAAACAAGGGAAAAGAGACAAAATTCACGACGAACGCGAAGAGCATGTAACTGTTAGTAGACCGTCGAGTCTCTCTGTTCATAGCGAGCTATTCGTTTACATCATTCCTCACAGCTTGCTCCAACTTCTCGACAACATAAAGGCAAATTTAATTCTCTTGCAGCGTCGACGACGCGCGTAAACATTTTACGATCAAGCAGCCAACGAGCATTCGCCACTGGCAACCGATTAATTTATCGATCCTGTGGAAATTGATATCGAAAAATATAAGTAAAGACCTGGATGCCGAATGCATGGATACAGGGAACTGGCTAATGGCCAACTGGTCGGCCATTTGGGTCAAAACTCTATATCTATTCCTCGACTCCTTCACTTCCGGTTCTGCTAGGACCACTCTGCGAATTGCTGATACTTTTTTTACTATTTTCACTATTTTCACTTTTTTGGTAGTTGTCGCGTTAATGTTTAAGGTTAATCAAAGTGTTTGCACTTGTCTATCACTATGAAATTTTTAACTTGAGATAGATAAAGATAGTATAAGATAGATAATATAAGATAGATAAAGATAATTTTCTGAAAAGAATTTTTTTATGTAATATGGCATTGCAATTTTTTTTTCTTATCATTGAATGTAATTATCAGACATGTTAGCTTCTCAACTTTTGAATACATTCCTCTGGTCTCTTAACCTCAAAGCATAAAATACAAGTTACTCTCATCTATTTCTGTAAATTACTTTAAATCTTTCATCCTCATTTGTTCAACACATCCCAAGATAAATGCTCGAGTAAGCTTCGAAATTTTACCGAACACATTTTTTTTCGGGCACACTATCCGTATGCAGCACATATGTAATAACTGATTCTTTATATAACGTTGAGAGAGTAACTCGCTGAAGATTCATGCTATCATATTTTGACTTTCATTTAATGTAACTATCACTGAGATACTCTATTCAAATATCGTACCATCACCAACTGCTATAATAATAATTATTTATCAAGGAATATACATTCGAAAATCTTCGAGATTTAAATTTCAAAAATCTAAAAATCAAGTTTTCGATTAATTTTTTTAATTTTCTTTATATCGATAAAAAAAATAAGATACCTTTTTCGATGTCATTTACTTCATTTTCTTTACTTTATGTTTCCCTTCGAATCTTTAAAATCCATAAGTGAAACAGATTCTGGACTGGTGAAAGATAGAAGAGGAATTGAAAATGGTGCTCGTTCTTGCATGCGTACAAAAACACCGTTGCACCATTACAGAAACAAAACAGGCAAATGACGCGTTCGTTCGTTTAAATGCAGGTTGCACACGAGTTTGCAGTTTATTTAATAGGAATCGTGAACTGCCGAGTTGTATACGTGACCGTGGGGATCCTTTTTCACACGGGCTACATTGTCTCGTGAACCAACAAAACGGCGAGTTGCAAAGTATTCTGATCTCTCGTGTAATCCCTTTACACCGGCTAAGAGACAAAGTTCTGCAACTGAAAACGATTACACGCAAAGTATCTCGTTATGGAAAATATTTGATCTTTTTCGATGTAAAAGATTTAAAGATTTAAAGATCAAAGATTTCAATTTTGGCTTTTTTTTTTTTTGATGATTTTAAAGGAAAATTAAAAAAGAATTTCAAAAAGAGAGAGAGAATTTTTAGGATCAAAAAATATTTCAGAAAAACGAGGACACAAATGGAAAAGTTCAAAAAGTACAAGGATTAATGCATGCATATAATTATTTTATTAGAAAAGTTCTTTGTTAGTTTTGAATTTACTTTCATCCTCCTGCACGTAACAAGAATCATTTTACAATCGAAATTGTGCAGCGGATAAAAAAAAACGTAGTATGAAAATGTATTTAAATTCATACATGCCAGTTTATCCTGTACCGACCAGCTTCACGACCAGTTTAACTTTAAAGCGGAACATTCATCTGCACAAAACTATCTCCGTTATAGAAGAACAATCGAAAAAAATGGAAAAAAAAAATATACATATATTCACGAGCGAACAAAATTCGATTTTACGGAAATTTTTGTTGAACGAAATACAGAATGTATCGACGAAACTTGAAACAGAACACCATGAGAACGAGAGCATATAAAAAAGATAAAAAAAATTGGTAGATAGTATCTAATGGCGCATCTTTGTGAGATTTTTGTAATTTACAACGTGGCAATGAGATGTCGACATCGTCGATGATTTTCCAACTTATTATTATGGCGGATATAATGTTTTTAATGAAAATTTGGCTTAACATCAACCTATCTTTCAACTTCAAAAAATAGAAAACGATCTTATTCAGTCTGAAAAAATTTGAAAAAATTAATTTTTTCAAATAATGAATAATATTAATTTAAGATAGAAAATCTAAGAAAAATTATAATCACCAAAATTGAAATTTGTTTATTTCAAGAAAAAACAAAGACAATTTTGTTTCGAATAACGGTGAAAATTAGGAGAATGCAAAGCTATATCGTGGAAAATCGGAAATTTGGAGGCGTTGTTACGCGTGGCTGGCGAATCGCCAATGGCAAACCGACCCTACTTGGCAACGAGAATTCAACTGCAGCGTATAAACAAGTTGCACGTTCGCCTACTGCTCGCGATTACCTCGTTTAGTATGAAGACGAAATATTGCCCTCTGAGGCGATCAATTCTCTAAAACTTTCCAACTTCTCGTTTAGTCTAAATTTATGTATTTCAATTTATCCTATATTTCATCTTTTTATTTTCTTAAAAAAGTTGGATTTATTGTGAAATAAATTAACGTAAAGTATATGTTCTAAAAAAGGATAAATAAATATTTATAAAAAAATATCATTATATTTTCAATTTCGATGATTTCTTTTAATACAATGTCAAAGTCATCACATTGTGTTGTAAAGATTTTACTTGATCGTTGTTGTATTAAAAAGTTATTAATCTAACCTAACTTAATCCAAACCCAGTATAAACCATGATAATTTTTGTTTGAAATCAAAGTTTAATTCATATTAATTTTAAATCTTAAATCAAAATTAAATAAAAATTTATTTAACTAGCTATCAATTTTTTGTAGCAAGAAACCTCATTAAAATTGATTTAATCTAAATTAAACTTATTTCAAAGAAAAGTTTTTTTATTTTTAATAACTTCTTGATAAATAATTAATAAACGCCAAATAAAATTTTCACAACTTCAAAATGACAACATATTAAAAATCATCAAGATCAGAGAATAATACTTTTTATAAATAATTACCTGTTTAAATTAATACATAATTTGAAAACTTCAAAAAAAAATTGAAAAATAATTGTACACTTATCATTAATAATATTCATCAACACAATAAAAAGTTGAGTTGACTTATTATAATTACATTATTATACATAAGACATGAAAATTTTTGAATCTAAATTTAACAATAAAATCGAAAAATTATACAATGTGATAAATAAATAAATACAAATTTTTCATCGGTAAAAAAATTTCGTTTCTTACTTTTTCTTCTGAGAGATAAAAGTTGTCTTTCTTCTTTTAATCATCCAATGCCAAGATCACATAAAAACGAAGAAAAGCATCGTCTTAACGTGTCAAGTAAATTCTATTTTAACTCAGATAGGAGGGCAGTGAAATTCGTCTGGTCGTTTATCGGGACTAGACCGAGAGGAAGGATGATAGCCGGCGGCTAAGGGTGGATTCAGGGATCATTTCCTCTTCGTTCATTTTTCCCCTATATTTTTTTCTCCTCTTTTTTTTTCTCATCTCTCTCGTTTGAAACATCCAGCCAGAGGCGACGAACGCACAAGGATCGACGCCGCGCAGGAAAATATGGAAATAAAGTAGGCGCGCACGGATAAACGAGCGAGACGATGGCTGCAGAGATGGATGCAACTCCCAACGGGTGTTCGTTTTCAAAAGGATACCAAGCTGCTTTCATGCTACCGTAAATCGAACATAGCTGGAATTTTAATCGGACGTCTCAGGAACTTGTACATTTTTTGGCTTCGCGTTTTTTCTACTACCTTTATACAATGATATTATACAATGATTTTTTTCTTCTTATTTTATTTAAACTGGTTAAGAACGATCTTTTTGATCGAATATTGATTGCTGGAATTGAAAATTAAATGGCTCAACAGATTTTTAACAATGAATGCAACACAATAGAGTGTCGATTATTCAAAGTTGCAATGTTGTTATTCTATCTATTTAAAATTAGTGAAACTATCTACTTGAAACAATACTGATTGATATAACAATTACTCAATATGTATATAATAATATTCATGTATAATATACAATATATAATATATATGTATAAATACATTTCAAATTACAATAGTATTCTTGTATTTAATGAATATTTATATGTAATTCCCATAAACTAAGTTTGAATTTGAACAATTCGATTTTTTATCTTGAATAATTGATACTACTATATTAAATAGACTTAAAAATTAACTTTCATATTTTTCTTACATATTATGATACTTAAAATTAATTATGATTTTTTATCACAATTTGACATTTAACAATAACATTTAACAATATAATATTTGCATTAAAATCCTATTTATTAATTCCTGAAGAGAAAGAATAAGGTAATTGGCGTGAAAGAAAGGCAAATAATAGTAGAAATTCCAGAAGGAGAGATTTATCCGAGGATCTCGATACGATCAAACGTCATCCCACCAATGATTTTCTTTTTCTTCGAGGAAAGGGAAGCCGCAAAAGCACTCTGGTTGATAGGCCACTGATCGCATGGTATCTCTCGTATTGGCTTCCCCTTGGCTCTGGTACATCTCTCTTGCAAATGGATCCTCAGAGGAACTAGATTCAGCCTGAGAGCCGGTGACAAGAAAGGAGTCGCCGGATTGGAGATATACGGGTCACCTCGATGATAGCTCAACAGGCTTCCAACCTCCTCCGATTCAATCGACTCGAATCGTGCTTAGAATTTGATAACTCTCCTTATTCGATTATTTCCTAAGAAATCCACTGTCGAACGATCTCAGTTCCTTTGTTGACAAGTAACTAAACCTAAAATAAAAATTTGATATTAGCGAATAAATTTGATGTGTAATTAATCTTTTCTTGTGAATAAGTGAATATTTAATTAATATAATATTACCATGAATAAAACTTTAATTATTTTAAACAGATATATTATATATTTAAAAAAATATCCAACATATTGTTAACAGAACAATCAATCTATAGTATATATTTTATATAAATGATTGCAATTAAAGTGATGTTGTGAATATATAAGTAGATATATTCCAAGTTTAAGATGCAAAATTTTGTCAATATAGATTTAAATAAATAAAAATAGTTGTATAAACATAGATTCACAAACATTTTTAAATAAAAATATAAAGAAAATATAATGTATTCAATACTAAAATTAAATTCATGTTAATTAATATTAAATAAAAATTGTTATATAATTTAATGATAATAAAACTCGCATAAAACCATATAATACTAAACATCTTATGTTTATATAACATTTTTTGCTTATTTACATAAAATATATTGACAAAGTACACTTTAAACTTAGTACACTCTAATATAATTACATTTCTTAATAAAAAATCTTAATAAAATAAAATACATTAATTTTGCTAAAAAAAAAATTTTCTCCTTCCCAAAATAAAAAATATAAAATCCTTTCATTTTGATTATTCTACTGTTAGTAAAGTATTTGTCAAATTTTAAATATGAAAAACCTTCTACATAATTCCACAAAAAAAAAAAAAATTCGTAATGAAAAGAATAAGAGGGAATGATCAGATCCCTTTACTCCTCTCGTACCAATCACACCGGTGCCCAGAAACGCATAAAACCTGACCGAGTTTTGGCGAAAAATCCTGCACCGCTCGTAAAAGTATCTCATATCGTGGCGTGCAACTCTTTCCTCCCTCTGTCGTGCTTTTTATCGCACAGGAGGACGCATTTCTCGAACCCTTCTGCTCTCTCAAAACGGAAGATAAATCGATGCTTCTTGAACCTGAAAAAAAAATACGAAAATTAACTCATTTCAAGAGGCTTGGCTTGCCTCTGTAATTCTAATCTAATTTCCTCCATTCTATCTTTCAATATTCGTATACATGTATATTTCAAGATTTTTCGAGTTGTTTGTTTGCTTTTCCAGGATAACCATTTGTTTCCTCAGTCATGACACGTCTTCTTTTATCTCTGCTCATACGTTTCTCTCGTTGGTGAAAATCGTGGAATACGAGAGAATTTTCCGGTTGAACGCGCGCCATTTATTCCTCGGTTGAACTGTGACGATTTCTTCCTCCTTTGATCCGCCATTTATCCACCGAGACGTTCGTTGAACGAATGAGCCACGATTCCATTATTCTTTTATAATGATACCTGAAATTATTTCATTCCATATAATGATTGATTTCTTTCCTTGGTAAGCAATAAGAAATGGGGGGGAAAAAAATTCAAGTTTGCGAAATTGGAAAATCAAAGTAGAATGGTAGAGTGATTTAGGATGCAGCGTTGGTAGACTGTCGTGATCGTCAGCGCGATAAATGGAAAAGCACTCGAGGGGTCCATATTTTATTGCGTAATAAAATATAGTCCCGCGATGGTACGAGAAGGTAATGGGTCACCTGTCCAGGATTTATCGCGAGCAAGGTTTAAAAACTGGGTCAGTTCTTTAAAATTTCTTAGAGGGAAACGTGAATAGTAAATTTAAGAAAATGTTAAACTTTGTTCTTACAAAATATTCAAAAATTTCATTTCTTATGATAGACATTGACATAAGAAGAAAACTTCAATTTTTTGTTCCTTAAAATATTCAAAATTTGCCTTCTGTGATGTAAAAAGTAAACCATAAATTTTTCTCAAAAATATTCAAAAATTGTCCTTCTTGTGACAATGACATAAAAAGAAAATTTTAAATTTTTATCTTTCAAAAATATTTAAAAATTGTTCTTCTTTTGAATTGAAAAGAAAATTTTTGTCCTTTAAAATATTCAAAATTTGTGTTCTATGATATTTATATAAAAAAATTTTAAATTCTCGTCCCCAAAAATATTTTTTTTATGACAGGCACTAATATAAAAAGAAAATCTAAAATTTTCATTCCCCAAAATATTCAAAAATCATCTTTCAGTGACAGATAGCGATTAAACAAATAAAGAAATTTTTTAAACAAGACAAAGAGAAGTTGAATTAAAATTGAAAATGCGGCACAAGTTGAGAAATGCAGAAGAAATTATTAATCATCACGTTTCAGAAAGACTTTCTTGTTCTTCTTTCCTTCTCCTCTTCCTCTTTTCTACAACATTTCAGTAGAAACGATCCGACCAACTGCATTTGAACAGTGACAAAAGTCCATAATTCGTCAGACACCATCGGCAGACACCAAGGGGAAGAGCACGCACATCCAGTCGGCGAAATGCAGCCAAGTAGTTGATGCCCGGCATTAGTCAGCCGTGAGAAACGCGGAGAAACCAGTTCCCCTCCAGGAACTTTCGTAATTTGACGTAACAGATGCATCTACTGAATTCGTAATACTTCAACAGAGTCGGTCGGTGCGACTATCGATTTTCGATACCGAATCCTTCCATTAAACCTAACGACGACGTATATTCAATTACATCTGGCCCTCGATTGTTCCAAACAGTTCAATTTATTATTTGTATACAATTTGAAAAAGTCTTGCCTGAGTATTTCTTTTTTCTTCCACATTTGTTTCTCATGTCTTGTACCAAGAAATTTCATTCTTTCTTCATTCCAAGATTTATACATCTTTCATCATTCGATTTCATGAATTAAAATATAATAAGTACATTGAAATCAAAATTATGATAACGATTCTAAAAACTTATTATTTATTATTCATCGAGAAAAGCCAGAGAGAATAAAAGATTTTTCTAAATCTTCAAACATCATCCGATCTTCTACAATTTCTAAAAAAAAGAAAAGAAAAAATTAATATTTCACAAATTTACAAAATTTCTTATAAATTTATATAAAATTATCTAAAAAATAATATCTAAAAATAGATATCGATCTATTTTTTAAATTTTTTTAAATTTTCAATCACATGAAAACGATTATCCACGATGAAAGTTAACCATCGATTAATCCAATTACGTATATCGATAAGTTACGATGCAGAGAAGACGAGACGATTTCAGCTTGAGCTATTAGCCAGGCAAACTGGGATTTTGATTAGGAATGAGACTCCCCGATACCTGGAAATGGCGCGCATTGTGTTCTCGACCCATTCACCTCGTCGATACCATGTCCATGTATGTTTCTCTGTGTGAGTTGTAGCCCACCACCATACATTACCCTCGATTTTCATTCTACGTATATACTTGCATGATGAGCCCTTGAAGCCCTACAATGAACTAGTATTGTGACCAAGCCGTCCTGCACAACGTAATTCTGCGCAGAGCATGCGATAGAGGAAGCCAAAGTAACTTAATCGGCGACCGAGTTTCGGTTTCCTTTGAAACACGTCGATCAAAATCTTTACTATTGTGTTATCGCGATTACAATCGTGTCATTGGTGATGGGCTCGTTTATTGGAAAATTGTTACGTGATTTTAAGGAAAAATATTAAGAGATTAATTCATTTTTGTGTTATACTTAGAGTGTATTCCCAATGGGAGGATTGAAATATAAACGAGCTTCCGTTTACGTCCATTTACGTTCGTATATATTCGGCGATTATTCGGTGTTGATTGGCATCGATCGATTGTTCATGTAAACGAATGCATACAAGTGAGTTTGTATTATAAATTAATGATGTCAATTTTTTTTGGAACACGATTTTCTTTTAGAGTGCATATATTTGTTCTCAAAAATAATTTTTCACAAATAGAATTGAGAATAAAAATAATCATATGAAAATTTTGATTTATTTTATTTTCAAATTCTGTATTCTTATAATTGATATAATATTAGTTAAAGAATTTTTTAAATAAATGATTAAAAATGAAAATAACCTTGTTTGATGCCAAAAAATTATTTAGAAACAGTTTGTTGGAAAAATAAATAGAATAATACATAGAATAAAACAATAAACGTTTGAATAAAAATTTAATCAAACTCTTTCCCATTAACCAAATAACTAGGTGTTTCAACAAAATTCACGAGAGATATCACAGTTCGTATACACTATTCATCGAGTTAACATATTCACGAATGCCCATTAAAATTCAGCCCTATTCACCGTCGATTTAAAAATAAACACATTTGTTATTTCACAATTATGTTTAAATGAAACTAATTACACTTTGATCTTGTTTCACTTTTTATTCATTCAACGAACTTAATTTATCAAGATAACGAGAGTTTTATAATTATAAAATGTTCATAACCTCGAAATATTCATTTATTGAACAGATTTTAAAAAACTTTAAATTTTCAAATCAAAATTATTATCAATTAGTTTGAGAATATCATCATAATTATTATCTTAATAAATACTTATGAATATTTGTTTTAAATATGGAATATATTCTTCACTTAACTTTAGTTTTTCTCCAAAAGAAAATCGAATAGAAGTAACTCGAAGCTATCGATAATTCATCGAACGCTTCTATCGATTCTTTGCTCGGTCGAACTCGAAATTAATCTCGATAAATTCTTTGATCGAGTCCCCAATACCAATTACGGAAATTTGAAAACAATTGACTTTGATTCGTAATTGGAAATGAAAAGACAATTGAAAAGACAATTGAAAAAGTAGAATATATACGCATATGTTTAAACAATTAAAAATAAATCTGTGATAACAAACAAACTCTTATAATTTTGTATCGAATATTATTTTTTCAATGTAAATGCTATTTTAAAGTTGAAATTTAACCTTTTCGTCTTTAAACTCCCTCAGGGAGTTAAGCGAGAAAACAATCGATAAAGTTCATTCGTTCTCTTCGTATATACGCTTCTTTTCCATGTGTTTCAGCGTGCAATAAAACATACTATGGCGACGTGGGCAAGACCTACGATTTGGAGCTCCATCGACCTAAGGAGGATAAGGTGCCTTACATTTGCAAGCTCACCTTCAGCGCACCGGGTGGCGATCTCGGAGACATTGTGCAGGCAAGTACAAACCCCTAAACCTAATTATTTACATTCTTAATTAACATACAATCACTGAATACCAACCGTAGTTATAATTAAACCATTCATCAACTCGTGATATATGTTAGCAAAATCGAATTTTAGGTTATGTTAGGCCAAAGAAATTTCCATCCGGCAGAAACTTTCCTCTAAATCACGGTATAATTTCATGGAAAAAGGATCACTATAGATAGTGCAACTCTGCTGAGAAAGAACTCGGAAACTAATTTGAAAAAAAAGGGAGGGAAAAAGAAAAAAAAAAGAAAAGGGGTAGGTAAAAAAATAAAAATGGAGAAAGAGAATTCCGGGGAGAAACAAGGCGGAACCACGGGTACAGGAGGAATAAAAATTAACGGTGGAATTTTTAATAACGCGAATTGCTAGAATTGCGCCAGTTAACCGGAGAAAAGCATTCTCGAACATGCGTTTTGAGGCCACGAAAACTTTCCAATGGAATGAACAGGGATGGAACGAAATAGGGTGAAAATTTCTCCACTAAATTTATATATACGTAGGTCGTTTGCTGCGTTTTCTCATTGATTGCCCTCATATTTACCGTTTTTATCAAAACAGATTGACCCTGCAAGTTGACACCACATTGAAAGAGATTAAATAAAAAAGTTGTATATTTTTCTATTTAATACTATTCTTGTTGAAAAAAAAAAA